CTCCCCCTCTTCCCGGAGAGAGCAGCGGAAGACGTAGGGTGAAGGAGGGAGAAGGAATCGACGTGGAGGTGTTGTAGTTATTCTTGGGGCCCGCATCCGAAGGTTCGGGCCCGGGCTCCGTGCCGAATGCGGCGCAACACAGCGCGTGCGCCCCGACCCGACGCGCGCCCTACGTGGCGAATCCCGACGTGCCGGCGCACCGAGCCCTCCCCCCCGCCTCAGGCAGGAGCTGGTCGCGGCGGACGTGAGGCACAGGTCGGGGGCGCCGGCCAGGGCCTCCTCCTCCTCCTCCTCCTCCTCCTCCTCCTCCTCCTGCTCATCCTCCTCCTCATCCTCCTCCCCGTCCTACTCCTCCTCCCCCCCCTCCTCCACCTCCTCCTCCTCCTCCTCTTCCTCCTCCTCCTCCTCCTCCCTCCCTCCTCCTCCTCCTCCACCCTCCCCCTCCTCACCTTCCTCCCCCCCTCCTCCCTCCTCCTCCTCCTCCTCCTCCGCCTCCTCTCACCTTCTCCTCCTTCCTCCTCCTCGTTCTCCTCCTCCTCTCTCTCCTGCTCCTCCTCCTCCTCCTTCCTCCGTCTCCTCCTCCTCCGCCTCCCTCCTCCTCCTCCTCCTGCTCCTCCTCCCATCCTGCTCCTCCTCCCCACACCTCCTCCTCCTCCTCCTCCTCCTCCTCCTCATCCTCCTCCTCCTCCTTCTCTTCCTCCTCATTATTCTTCTTCTTCTTATTATTATTATTATTATTATTATTATTATTATTATTATTCTTATTATTATTATTCGTCTTCTTCTTCTTATGTTTCTTCTTAGTATTCTTCGTCTTATTATTATGAGTATGATTCTTCTTATTATTCTTATTATTAGTCTTCTTCTTATTAGTATTATTCGTCTTATTATTCTTCTTATTATTCTTATTAGTATGCTTCTTATTCTTATGATTCTTCTTATTCTTCTTCTTATTCTTCTTATTCTTCTTCTTCTCCTCCTCCTCCTCCTCCGCCCCCTCCTCCTCACCCCTCCTCCCATCCTGGTCCTCCTCCTCCTCCGCCGCCGCCTCCCTCCGTCCTCGCCTCCTCCTTATCCTCCTCCTCCGCCCTCCTCCTCCCTCCTCCTCCTACCTCCCCTCCTCCGCCGCCTCTCACTCCTCTCGTCTTCTCCTTTTCCTCCTCCTCCCCTCCGCCCCTCCTCCGCCTCCTCCCCCTCCTCCACTCCTCCTCCTCCCTCCCTCCCTCCGCACTCCCTCCTCCTCCCCGCCTCTCTTCTCCTCCTCTCCCCACTCCTCCGCCTCCTCCCCCCCACCACCTTCTTCTCCTCCTCCTCCTCCTCCTCCTCCTCCTCCTCCTCCTACTCCTCCTACTCCTCCCGCTCTCATTCCTCCTGGGCGCCCATCCCCTCCTCGCCCCGGGGGCGGGAGAGGCCGCCAGACTTGCGTTGCGCAACGGGGGGCGATGCACGCCGGTCGTGGACAGCAGGTATAGTCTTGTACGCTCAAATCCACATCTAATTTGCTTTAGGCGCCTGCCTACTTCAAGGATCGAGCGGTTTCACCCTTTCCCTCCTCTTCAGGGGGCGGGCGGAGACCCAACCCACCTCCAACGCCTTCCTGCTTCGTGCTTCTGCCCACTTCTGCCGACCGGCGTGTAAACGACGGGGGGAAAAAGGTGCGACTCTCGTGCAGCCTAGGGGCCCTCAAGGGGCCCTCTGGCGCCCAAGAGGGGCGCGACAGTTCTACGTCGTTTCTTCGCCCCCCCCCCACCGATCACCCCTCCATCAAGCAACGCCCAGCCCAAGGTGCACCTTTCGTGCAGTCTAGTGGCCCTCAAGGGGCTCTCTGGCCCCCCAAGAGGGACACGACAGTTCTGCGTTGTTTCTTCGCCCCCCCCACTGATCGCCCCTCAATCAAGCAACGCTCAGCCCAGGGGATCGGAGGCAGGAAAGGAGGAGAAGGAGGAGGAGGAGGAGGAGGAGGAGGTGGTGGAGGAGGAG